TTCCGCAATGTCTGGAGTCCTTGCTCCAGTGTCGAAAGTCGTTGGAGTAGTTGCTCGAGTGCGACGGAACTGATCGTCGTCGTCTCCTCGTTTGTCGCAGCCGGGTTGGTCTGCGCTTCAGCGGTCAGATTTGTCTGACCTCCAGATCCTCCGGCCATCCTTACGTGTGAGCGTGTGCCGGACGCCACCTTAGTTCGCCGAGGATTTCGGGAGTGTCAGTGCGAAGGATTCCTGAGCCGCTATCATACAATGTTGCGATCAAAAGGTTGATCGTGCCTAGGATCACCTCAGGGTTCGAAGAAAGTGTGTTGCAGCGGAAGTATTGACCTCATGCCAGAGTGAATTTAAAATTACTGAGATAATTAAAAAATGCAAGTATATTCGTTTATACCGCATCACTGTTAAAGTTTAGAAGAAAGAAGAGGATTGCACTAGCAAGAATGAGGATACAAATAGCAAACCCTAGAAGGGTTGTACTCGCTATAGAGCACCCCACTACAGGCTAGAGCATAAGATAACATTCTGACACACCCCCATAGCCAAAGTGGGGTGTAATCAGCAGAGTAAGCAAAGGAGTACAAGCTCAGGGTGGATCACAATGTCACCACACATTCTGAGCACAAGTTCAAGAAGCAATAGTTTAAGTTCACAATTATGAGCAAAGCTAGTGGTAGTCACAACGGGCAAGTGAGGAGGAGGAGAGAGAGTGAGAGGAGAGGAGATAGGAGGCGACGGCTGAAGCTGCAGACACACAGGCAACAGGAGGCAGACTGGCACAGCGGCTACCGGACGAAGTCCCCGGAATACAGGAGTAACAGGCCCCGCGGCTAAAGTAGCGGCAGACGAGCAACGGACCCACGGGCGGCTGGCACAGCTGGCTACGACTGGGCTACCGGACGAAGTCCCCGGAATACAGGTGCTGCTGGCGACACGACGGCAACCTCCATTCAGCTTCCCCAAACTATCCCACTCCCCCCTGGCACATACCCGCTGCTACACCGCTAGCTCCACTCCCCCTTCACCCCCCCTTAATACCACTCCACCGGCTCCAACACGTCCACCCCCCCTCAGCGGCAGCTGCAGCACAGGGAGACGGAGGAGGAGGAGGAGCAGGGAACAGTACACAGTGGGTGCACCCCCATACCCCGCACCCCCAAACCCTAATACAGGAGAATGGGGAGTAGGAGGGGTGGGGCACGAGTAGAAGCGCTGGGGGACAGTAGGGAGGGCAGGGGCAGCAAGGAGCGGGCCCACCACGGGCCTGGTAGGGTCGCCCGAACCGCGCGTAGGCGGCCTGAGCCGCGCGCGGGCCTGGCGCCGCCCGTACGGGCCGCGCGCGGGCCTGGCGCAGCCCGTACGGGTGGCGCGCGGGCCTGGCGCAGCCCGTACGGGTCGCGCGCGGGCCTGGCGCAGCCCGTACGGGTCGCGCGCTGCCTGTACGGGCCGCGCGCAGGCCACGACGGGCGACGGGGGGCGACGAACGGGTCCCCGTCGCCCATCGCGGCGCCTCCCGAGGGCGACGCGACGGTTGACGGGGCCGAAGCCCGCCGCGCGCCTCGGGGCGCACAGCGGGCAGAGAACCGCCGCGCGCCTCGGGGCGCACGGCGGGCAGAAAACCGCCGCGCGCCTCGGGGCGCACGGCGGGAAGAAAACCGCCGCGCGCCTCGGGGCGCACGGCGGGAAGAAAACTGCCACACGCCACGGGGCGTGCGGCACCGAGTGTAGTGGTAGGAGTTGCAGCGGAAGCTAGGAGGTGGTAAGCCCACCCACAGGATCGATCCAAGGGGATCGACCTGCTCTGATAGCATGTTAAAGTTTAGAAGAAAGAAGAGGATTGCACTAGCAAGAATGAGGATACAAATAGCAAACCCTAGAAGGGTTGTACTCGCTATAGAGCACCCCACTACAGGCTAGAGCATAAGATAACATTCTGACAATCACCCCGGATAGTAGCGCATATGCGCTTATAATAGAAGCATTTTTTTTAAGGGGGGCGCTTGTAATTGAATATCGGCCATAAGCGCCGGCGCTTGTATAATGACAAATACAGAAATACAACGTAAACGCACCAAATTGTACATGTGAGTCTCGTAAGTTGAATCGAATCAAAATTTTACAGCGTGCTGAATCAGAATCGAGCGAGGGTGATTCTCTGACGGTGCACAGAGCTTTGGCACGTCATTTTGCCCGCGTGCCATCTCATACTGACTGGACGCGCAACCGGTAGGTCCTCGAAAGTCAAACAAAGTGAAAATGGCAAGTTGATTCGCTGGAAATTTGGAATTCGTTACCGTTTTAGTCAGGATTGAAAAATATAATTATGCATGCGCTTATAATATATCAGGGTTTTACAGGGGGGGCGCTTATACTCGAATTCCGGCCATAAGCGCCATGCTCCAGATAGAAGCGTCGGCGCCTATATCTGGTGGGAGAGCGGAATTGCGACGAGAGCGACGAGATGGGTATGGGAAGGGAGAGGAGAGGGGGGACGGGGGGGCGATTCGCGGCGAGAGCGAGGGCGACGAGGTGGGTAATGGGAAGGAGGAGAGGAATGGCGACGGGAGGGCGATTCGCGACGAGCGCAAGGGCGACGAGGTGGGCGATGGTAAGGGAGGCACGGTGGGTGACACCATGGTGACGGGGAATACGATGGGCGGGAACGTTGTGAGGTTTATACAAGGAGTAGAGCGCGCGACGAGAAGGCTGACGCTAGGGGCGACGAAGAGGCTGACGCTTGGGGCCGGCAATGACGGATGGGTGACGTTTGCGCGCTCCCGGGAAAAACAGTATTACGCTACTAGGCTTCGTACTACTATATTACGTACTACTATATTACGCACTCTCGAACAAAGTCGTCAGTTGCGTGCCGATGACACAGTGGACTAAGTTATAGGCTATGCTAAGCTAGGCAAAAATCTAGAGATCACGGGAGTGGAAAACCAGTGAGTCACGAACCCAGTCCCAGCTTGAAACTGAAGTTGGGCCTGGCGACTAATCCCTCGCTTTGCAACTGTCGTGCAGGTGAGGCATGTGAACGTGCGATCGCTGACATGAGCCAGAAAACTCGTTTGGCGGGAACCCAATTTTTCACTTTGGCGATAACCAATCACATCAGTTCGCTCTCAGCACATGAATTGTTTGGAACAGTGCTGCATCGACCCGAACTCTTTCTGTCAGAGAAACCGTCGCAACACCTCTTTCAAGATGGGACGGGGGTCACTATTTTGCCTGCTAGCTTTAATTGGACGGCGCCTATATCCGGGGCCATACGGTATAAGAGTACAGAGGAATACGAAACGACCTAAACTAGCCTTGTACTCTAAGGGGTAAATTCCCTTATTGCAGAGAACTCCAACCGTGCGACTCCGGACGTTTACTGTTCCCGCCATAATCCTCGCCACTGCAGCTGCCCGATGCTTCTGCTCCGACGGTCCAGATGCTCCATAACCGTACGCGACCCTTCGCGTCACTCCGTCTTTTCGCCTTCGTACTCTTCATTGTGTTCCTCGCTTGCTACTGACACAGTCATTTCACCTTTTTTCTATTCGTAACAGAAATAATGATTGTTTGAGATTTGCTCCATAGGAAAAAAGGCAAAAGTGAATGATAGCATTGATAGATGAAATGTCACGATAGTTGTAAGCGATCAAGAAAGCAATGAGCGAGATAAAAAAGGATGTGGTGCGGAAAACATGAAAGCGAGTTTCCATAATTTATACGGATCGAGTTGGTAGAAATCCATCGTCGAATTTGATTAGAAGCAAAATACAAGTTATTGAACTATTTGTTTGGCACCCTGTAAAACATGTACATTATTTCTGTATGTATCTAGCTAGACTCTATTGTGAGTCCTGTATACAGTACATTCTGTCACACATATTGTCAATGGTGGCGTTTATACGCACACAGCAGTGGCAGTATGAACGTGGGACACAAAACACAACTGGGATCCGACAGGGTGCCCCGAAACGAATCAAGAGCCGTGCTCCCATCAGTCCTCTGATGATCTGCTTTCGTTGCTTGACGATTTCTGTTGTGGTTCCGATTGCCCGTTGAAATGTGGTTGTGGCAAACGAATGGACAACGTTCTCTCGAAGATTCTCCTCGGTCAGGTTAGCCATCCGCTACCATTCACGAACAGGGTCTACATGTTGAAGCCTTCACAGCCGCACACCCTCAGAGCCGTGCTGTCGGGCTCTCGTGTGTCGAAATGATGACAACGAGTGGGAGGAAAGGACACGGGCAGCTCCAGCACTTTTGGAATGTGGTAAAGTATCTGGAGGCTAATCTAGACCGTCCGTAGGTTCTGGAGATTCAGCTTCACTTGTCGGTACGCCTTCAAAGTTCAAACCCTACTCTAGGTTCTATGGTCCCTTTTCTTGCTTGCCCATTTCAGACCTTGGGTCTGCCGAGGAGCGATGAACGCAGCTGGCCATTTCTGAAGAAGAGGCGTCTTTCTGGCCATGGAATCATCGTCATTCTCCTCCACGCACTAAACTGGACCACTCTGAAGTTTCAGAACGGTGTGAGGCACAGATGATGGCTGTCAGTCCAGCGATGGAAGCCAGTTGTAACCCTAACTCAGCTATCTTGAAAGCTCGGCCTTCTTGCGTTTGACAGGGACGATCGAATACTAAGGTTTCTGAAGTAGCTAGCTTGACCACAGCGCTCTCGAAACTAAGGGATGTGTCTTATCATCTCTAATTGTGCTGCATTTCGCGTTCGTGTAGTCTAATGATGAATAGCGTAGGAGCATCTGTAAGCCAGTCGACGTCGCAGGACGACAGCCAGAAGAAGATTCGGAAGCCGTACACCATCACCAAGTCTAGGGAGAGCTGGACGGAGCAGGAGCATGACAAATTCCTAGAAGCCTTGCAGCTGTATGTCCTGATTTTAGTACCTTACTAGTACAACGTCCTTCTATTATAGTGGATAATATACTATTTTCCCCGGCTCTCAGTTAATTAGTGTATTTGGTGTGGTTCTGTGTTCGTTCACAGATTTGACCGGGACTGGAAGAAGATAGAATCGTTTGTCGGGACCAAATCGGCGATTCAGGTCGGTGGTAGAGTTCGTGAGCTATATTTCCACCCCCTTTTCACATCGTTCCAAGAATCTCCGCTAAAATAGCGTTACGTCAATATTCCTCACCGTCGCCTACAATCTCCATCAGCACGTCGTCAGCGATTGCGATTGCAAATTGCGACCTGATACGCCATGGCTGCATAGAATATTCGGATATCGAAGTGGTTCTAACGACATTCTCTGTACTGCAGATTAGGAGCCATGCGCAGAAGTACTTTCTCAAAGTTCAGAAGAACGGCACGGGAGAGCACGTACCCCCGCCGAGGCCGAAGCGGAAATCCACGCAGCCGTACCCTCAGAAGGCCAGCAGCTCAAAATCAGGAGGTAATTCCCATCACAGCTTCCCCTCTAGCCAGTTGTGTCAATAGACTGAGGTGAATTTTGAGTCGACGGAGCATTCACCGCCGTACCCTCAGAACGCCAGCAGCTCAGAATGAAGAGGAGTTTTTCTTCGCAGCTTCGCCTCTAGCCGGTTTGCGTTGCTCCTAGCGTTCTGTTTTTCCCGACAGGAATTTCACATCGTTTGGTCGTAGTTCGGAAATTTTCTAAGTAATCCCCATAACGTTTCTGTGGCTCCTTGTCATACTATCCTAAAACCAGTATCAACCGTCACCCTCCAACGGTAACATAGCCTTCCGAGCTGTCTTCTTTGGAGCACTCCCTCCCACTTCTCGTCCTGTTTTTTCTTCCCCAATTCACCCACCTACATCCCTGCTCTCTTATCCGCACTCCCCGCTCCTCCCCCGCATCTCAATTCCACCTTCCGTCGTCCCCACCGACCCAATCCCCCCCCTTCCACGACCCCTCCCACCGACCTGATCCTCCCCTTTCCACGGCCCCTCCGCGTTACCACACCCCGCAGGATGCGGCGACGCAGGCCCCAATTTTCCAGGCGCGGGAATGCCCGGTCCGCTCCCGTCGCCGTTCCCGCCGGGAGCGCTGATACCCTCCGCGTCCGCCGCGAGCCTGGCGTCGCCGTCCTCCTCCACGCCGTCTGCCATGGCTGCGATGAGCATGTCCGGCCTGGGCCACGGGCACGGCGGGTCCGTTGGCGCGTCTCTGGCGTCGCTGGGAGTGTCGGGGAGTCATGGCGACGCGGCGGCAGCGGCGGGAGCGGGGATGGCGGGATTGGCGGGGATGGCGGGGGTGGGGGGGATGGCGGGGATGGGGGGAATGGCGGGGATGGCGGGGATGACGGGGATGACGGGGATGACGGGGATGGCGGGAATGACGGCTATGGCGGGGATGGCGGGGACGAGTGGGTGGATGCACCACGGCATGCATCCGCCGGGAGCCGTTTCGCTTGCTGCCAGAGGTGCGTGAGTGTGGCGGAGGCGGGATCAGAGTGGTCGTTGTGGTTCTTGTTGTTACGTTCGGGAGTGTTCGTTGCCAATTGGTCATGGCTGTCGTTCTTCGGGCTGTCCCGTGCTAGGGTGTAGCAGCACTTTTCTACGTTTCGGGTACAAAAATGTTAATTATCGTCAACTTTTGAATTTTCTCAAAAGTTCTTTTTCAACTTTTGATCGTGGGAGAGGTTTGCTACTTTCTTCAACTTCGCTGATCTGATACTTTCGTGCGCCCATCTGTGCGGGTCCAGGCGGCGGCGCTGCGAGCATGGGGGCCATGGCGGAAGGGCTGATGGCAGGGGCGTCGCAAATGGGGGGCGGCACCAGTGCGGCGGGGACCATGTGGATGGCGCAAGCTCAGGTGCGCTTCCCCGTGCATGCTCATTTTCACTATTCTGCTTCCGCGCGCACGCAGCTTTCCCCCATGCTCATTCCGCGCGCACTCTGCTTCCCACTGCGCGCATTCCGCGCGCACTCTGCTTCCCACTGCGCGCATTCCGCGCGCACTCTGCTTCCCACTGCGCGCATTCCGCGCGCACTCTGCTTCCCACTGTGTTCATTCCGCGCGCACTCTGCTTCCCACTGCGCGCATTCCGCGCGCACTCTGCTTCCCACTGCGCGCATTTCGCGCGCACGCACCGCCCCCCCATCTCAGTGGTTTCATCAGCCCCTGCCTACCTCGCCGCTTCTTGATTGCCTTCCCTCCGTGGTCTCGATTCTGCGCTGCTTCCTTTCCGAGCTGTTTCCGCCGCCATCGTTCGCGAATTTAGCGTCTCATATTGTAGCCCCTATTTCACCCTGCTCTGTCCCCTCCCGTGCGTCAACCAAGCAGCGACAACAGTCGACGGGGAACGCCAGCGAGCAGAGAGTTCGAGGTAAGCATGCCTTGCGCGCTGCCCACACACACTTTCCTAATGCTGTTCTTTGAGTGGATCATACTTACTGTCTTTCCCCGTCCGGCACTGCTCGTCTTTCCCTGTCAACAACCCCTCCTGATCTCTCGTTTTCTCTCACTGTTACACCTCGCTCTCCTCCCCCCCCTCGCCTTTCCTCGCCCATGTTTCTTCGCCTCCCTTTCTTCTCGCTAATTTACTCAACCGCCGTCCTCGCCCGTCCTCCCTTCCTTCTTCCCACTCTTCTTGTCCCCACCGCCAGCCACGCCGGACTTCGCGGAGGTGTACCGGTTCATAGCGCCCGTGTTCAACCCGTCCTCCCTTCCGTCCTCCCTTTTGTCCTCCTTCCCTCCTTCTCCCCACTCTTGCAGCCACGCCGGATTTCGCGGAGGTGTATCGGTTCATAGGGCTCGTGTTCGACCCGTCCACGTCGGGCCACCTCGCGCACCTCAAGGCCATGGCACCCATCGACCGCGAAACCGTGAGTCTCGAAGACCCCTTGCTCATTGTAGACACGGCAAAACCATGAGTTTCACGGTCAATTCTTTACGCGAATGAACCCACATCTTCCCACATTGATCTGTATGCATCCACCCTTCACGAGTTGGTCAGTTCGCAATCATATCCGTGCGCCTGGTCTCTCCTGACGTGTGCCTTCCAATCTCCTTCCGCGGTTCTCCTGCCGTTTCTTTCCACTCATTCCTTCTTTCCGACCCATCTTCTCTCTCCCACGCCAGGTGCTCCTGCTCATGCGAAACCTCTCCATGAACCTCGCCAACCCCGAGTTCCAGCAACATGTGAGTCCTGTCTCCTTGCTCGCTTCTCTTCCGCCTGGCCTGTTCCCTGTCGTGTTCCCATGAACCTCACAAACCCCGTGTTCCAGCAGAATGTAAGTCCTGTCCTCTTTTCTTGTCGCGTTCCCCATTGCCCTTCCATGAATGTCACGAACCTCGGAAGTTTAGCAGCATGTTAAGCCCTGTTCTCCTACTAGTTCCGTTCCCCTTTGTCTTTCCACGAACCTCGCAAACCCAGAGTAGCAGCATGTAAGTCGGGTCCTCGTGCTCGCGAGTAGCCATAACCGGGTCCTCGTGCTCGCGAGTAGCAGGCCCGGGTCCTCGTGCTCGTGCAGCCCAGGCCGCAGCATGAGTGGTTGGGCAGGTCCCTGTGCCGTTTTGGCGTGGACTTTGCTCGTGTTGCTTCAGATGCGCATGTGCGCGCACCAGCCTTCCTCTTGCTCCCTCCCCCCCCGTCTTTCCCGTTCCCTTCGTCTTTCCCCTTGCTCGTTGCCCTCGCTCCTACCGCAAGGCTTGTGCGTGATAAAAGTAGTGTTTTGAGACGTCTCAAAACACTACCGCGAAGTTTGTGCGTGGACTCGGATGTCATGCCACGCGTGCTTTCGCCGCACCACCAGTCTTCATCTCGCTCGTTCTCTTGTTTCCAGGACGCGTTCACGCAACTCATGTGAGGCACGGGCAGGCACCAACGACGAAGCAGAGGGGACCCTTGAGTCAACTATATGAATTCTCAGACGTGATTTGAATGTGGTTCGCTTGTGGTTCGCTCGTTCTCTTGCCCCAGGATGCGTTCATGCAACTCATGAGAGGCACGGGCGGCAACGATGCCGTGGCACCACCAGCGGTAGCACCAGCCGCAGCCGCAGCCGCAGCAGCAGACGCAGAAGCAGCAGGCGCTAAGGCAGAAGGAGCAGCAGCAGATGCGACCGGAAGGGCCGCAGCAGGAAGCCGGGAGGCGGACAAGCCATCTTCAGAAATCGCCAAGTCTGAAGGAGGGGCAGATGTTACTGCACAAGGGATACGAGAGCCTGAGGAACAGGCAAGTAGGCAGACGCAGGCTCAGGCGCAAAGACCGGGGAGTGATGAGGGTAGTGTGAAGGCGGAGGAAGGCAGAACGGAGGCGGGCAGGGCAGAGGGGAGTAGGGAGGGTGTAGGTGCTGCAGGTGCTGTTCGAGGGAGTGCAGAGGAGCGAGCAGCAGAGGGGGATGGTGCAGTGGGAATGGAGGTGGAAGAGGGAGAGGCAAGGCCTTCAGGTGATGGACAAGAACGGGTTGACGGAGTCAATGGGTTGACTGGTGTGACAGAGGCGCAGCAGTCGCATGACGCGCGGGCCGACCCAGCCCGTGTGGGCGATGCGAGAGGTGCTGCTGATGTTGCGACAGGGGATGCCGCTGCTGGTGCAGCTGGTGTTGCTGCTGCTGATGGTGCAGCTTCTCCTGGCGAGATACGTGAGAGAGGAGCGGTTGGTGAGGCAGCACGCGAGGCAGCAAGCGAGGCCGGCGAACAAAGGGGAGCGGGAGACACCTCGCAGAGGCTGCAGTCGGAAGGAGGTGCTGGGGGAGGAGGAGAACCAGGCGCAGCAGGCGAAGGAGCAAGAGGAGGGGAGGGAGGAGCAGGTACCAAGGAGCCAGGAGGAACCGGCGCTTCAACTGGCCCCGCATCTCTCTCTGCCGCTGCTGGCGCGAGCTCAGCCTCAGCAGCAGCAGCCGCTGTTGCAGCTGCAGCAGCAGAAGCAGCGGGAAGGGGAGGTGGCGCAACCGCATCAGCATCAGCGTCAACCCCGTCAGGTGTCCCAAGCCAGCCAGCCTTTGCCTCAATGCCTCGCTCCCAGTCGTCCCCTGCACCGACCACTGCCACTGGCCTGCACTCCGCCACTCACTCCGCCCACCTCCACCACCCCCACCAGGCACTGCTCACATCCATGCGCGGAGGCGCCAGCAGCATGGGCGGGGACGTGCCCCGCGGGGATGTGCTTCGCACCTATACAGGGGACGTGCCCCGCACCCTAGGAGGAGACCTATCCAGCAGCATGCGGGGCCATGTGCCCCGCGGGGTGGGGGTGGGAGGGGATATGGCCCTTGGGAACGTACCTCTGGGCGGCGGGGATGTGGAGGAGCTCTTTATGATGTCCCACATGATGTCCGCCTGGCCTGGCTTCTCTGGGTCCGGATTATCTGGGTTTGATCTGCCTGAGGATGCCAAGGCGGGTGCGCTTTCTCTCCCTGCGACTCTCCCTGCTGGGCTGTCTGCGACGCCGCCGCTGCAGTACTTGCCGCAGTTTGCTGCCGCTGCCGCTGGTGGTTTGCCTGGTTCTGCCAATGCTGCTGCCTCTGGCTATTCCAGTCAGTTCTCTGCTGCTGCTAGAGCTGCTGCCGCCGCTGCTGGAACAACCGCTGGTGCTACAACCGCTGCTGCTACAATGGGTGCTGCCACAACCGCGAGTGCTACATCCGTGGCAGCAAGTGCAGGGCTTGTAGCAGGCGAACGTGAAGGCTCTACTGCTGATGCCTCTGGGCCTGCTAATGGGAATACTGCTGCTGGCTTCGGCACTGCTGGTGCTGGTGCTGGTGCTAGTGCTGGTGCTGGTGCTGGTGCTGGTGCTGGTACATGGCCTATGAACGGCACAGCTGGCCTGAGCGGCCTAGGCAGGATGACTGAGTTGACCGATTTGACCGGGCTGAACGGCATGGCTGGGTTAAACGCCTTTGGTGCCTGGCCTGGTATGGCAGGCATGGCCGGAGCAGCTGTAGGCTCGGCAGGAGGCGCGGTATCCGAGGCAGGAGCTGAGGCAGCAGGTTCGGCAGCGAGGTCGGCGAATGGGTTAAGGGCAGGCGTGGGTGGTGGTGCAGGGAAGGGAGTGGGTGCGAGCACAGATGCAGAGGTGCTGGCGCGGACAGCAGCTGTTGCAGCACGAGCAGCAGGGACATGCAGCAACAGTGGTGCTAGTGCTGCTAGTGGCGTCAGTGCTGGTGGCGGTGGTGCTGCTGGGAGTGGTGCTGGTGGTGCTGCTGGTGGTGCGGTTGGGGGTGGTGGTGGTGGTGGTGGTGGTGGTGGTGGGGTGAGCAACGGAGGGGGTCAAGCTGCCATGTGGGCTGGTAGGATGGCACGGGGGGGTGGCATGGCTGTTGGCATGGCAGGGGGCGGCATGGGAGGCGGAGGCATGGGAGGTGGGGGCATGGGACCTGTGATGAGAGGCTTGCCTGGAGGCGGTGTGATGGCGCGGCCAGGTGGCATGGTCATGATGGGTGGTCATGAACTGGGGCAAGGCATGGCCAGTGGTATGGGCGGTGGCATGTTGGGTGCAGGCATGGGGGGTGCAGGGATGGGGGGTATGGGAATGGGAGCAGGCATGGGAGGAAGTATAGCTACTGCAGGCTTGGGAGTGCATGCGCGGCCAGGTATGGGTCTAGGTCCGGGATCTGCAGGCATGGGTCTACGTCCGGGAGGTGCAGGTGTGGTGATGGGGGCTACAGGTATGGGAGCTGCAGGTATGGGGAGTGCAGGTCTGGCTGCTGCAGGTATGGGAGCAACAGGTGTGAGAGGAGGTGGAAGCTCAGCCGCCATGGGCATGGGTGCCGCACGTCCTGGCATGGGCATGGGGATGGGTATGGGCATGGGGATGGATCCAAGCATGGGCGTGAACATGATGGGTTCAGGTATGGGCATGGGCATGAACATGGGTGGGATGCCTATGGGCTTTGGAGACATGGGCATGGGCATGCGGCCAGGGATGGGGGTGACTGGCATGAGTGGAGGAGGCATGGGTATGGGTGGTGTAGGGTCAGGTGGCATGGGTATGCATGGCATGGGTGGTGCTAGTGCAGGCATGGGGAATTACAGTGCCAGTGCAATGGACATGGAAGGCATGATGGATCTTCCCATGCCCATGGGCATGAGTGGGGCTTCTTCAGAGCATTTTTACGTGCCAGGAATGCTGCCTGGAATGTTGAAGTTTTCGGGGTCGTCTGGTGCAGTGATTCAAGGGGCAGGAACTGGTGGTGTTGGTGCGCCGTCTGTTCAGTTTGGAGGACTTACAAATGGAATTGCGTCAAGAAGATGACAGTTCCTCTGCTGGCTATTTCTTTGTGGGTTTATACTGTTCCGAATCAGCCTTGTGCGTTTCTAAGCTATAGAATGAAGCGTGTTTGCTCACAAATATTATACCTAACATTTGATAATTGTTTTGAGCGGTTCAGAGGGTTCACCACCACAGCCATCACAAAATAACATTGTTTGCGGCGCCAGGTTGGTGTCGTTTTCACCTTGTCACCAGATGTCGCCGCGAATGGGTTGTTCAGGTGTTTTCGCAGCTGGCGAGAGAGGGCACGTGGCCGCAAACTCGTGTGGCGCAATTCTGCAGGTTCGGGACCTGTAAATTTCTGGCATCAGAATGAATGCTGCCCTACTTTTGGTGTGTACTGTAGTTGACGGTGGTGTAGCATCAGCATGACGTGTACCCAGGTTTGCATCACGTGTTTCCGCCACGTTGTCCCACCAACTCCATCTTTCTCTCGCGCCACAAACTGTCTTACACATTATTTGCAAACGTATCATGCTGGTGTAAGTGTTCATTAGATTTGTTTATTATTTATATCTGAACTATGGCCCGTTATACACATTGAGATGGAGACCTTCACACAGTCTTTCAGGAATAGTGAAAGAGTTTCAGCTTTTTTTCCTGCTTGTTCACTTACGATCGTATTTTAGACTTGTTCAATAAGGCCAAAGTCGGGTAATGAATCTTGCGTGAGAGGAGCGGGCATCAAGTGTAAATCAGGTACACCCTCATTCTCGATAGACTGGCATATGTTATACTGACCGAGACGCTTAGTGTGACCGCACCGGACCCAAGAAGGTCCTAGCACATGCGTTATAGTGACAATTTGACCCAGGGCGTTTAGTCAAGGTTTTTTACGTTCTAGAACGGTACTGTTGTTTTCAAAGCGGTTGAGATGGTTAATCAACGTTAATGGTTTTTTACGGCCCAAGGCGTGTTTCAAACTTTCGTGCGACTTTGCCCGCAACCGAGTTGTCTCACCAGCCCGCTACGTCCAAACACTGTAGCCAGTGATTCCGCCGGTGAGATAGGTGAGAAAGAGGGTGTATGCACAAGCGGCAAAATCGGAGTACAGCACTGTAGCAGGGTGGATCTCCGTAGGGTCCGCCAACCAGTAGAACTGATCACAGCCCAGATTTCCCTCCAAATCCACAAATGGAATGCCACGCTGCATCATTTGACATGGTGCTCATCGCTTACTGTTCATTGTGACAATAATCGTGCCCGAGTTTCGTTTTCGCGCGCTACGTCCGGAAATGTTTCGGCCCAGTAAACCAATCGGGAACTCGCGTCTCGTGGCCTCACCAGACCAGACCAGAGATGCTTCTACGTTTCCCTTCCGTCTTCCCCCACCCTGGATCATCCCTGCGCGAATTTGCGCGACCCCACACCACAACCACGGGCCAGGTAGCCAGGGCCTTTCGTTTGTACAGAACAAGCGCGCAGAGTCTGATAAATTTGCGCACGCTGGGGGAAACCAGGAAGTCAGGTCAGGGGGACCGACTGTACAGTACAACAGCATTCGTCTCCCCGCGTTCTTCCGCGGGGAATGCAAGCTGCAACTGCGCATCCGCTGCTGGCGGGGAGAATGTTCCTCGGCCCGCCTTCCTTTTTCCTTCTCCCCACCCTCGCCTCGGTTTCTCCGCGTCATTCGCGTGACGCGCGTCTCTCCCCCTCGCCTGGTAATGGAAATTGCTCTCGACTCTTAGCAACCCGCACCCACACCACACCTCATAGGCTTGGCTTTGGAATGCGCCTCCTGCGCCCAGCCCTTAGTCGCAGTACATTAGTTGCTTCTCATTCCACCCTTCATCTTACAGTGAGCGCTCTTTGCTCATCACTTGTATCACTCTGAACGCTTTCTTTTCGGCTCGGCAAGCTCACAGACCCTCCTGAAGTGCTCTCCTCGAGCACACACGAATTTGCTAGCGTACATGCTGACACGTACTTGCTCACACGTGCTTGCTCACCGGATCCCCGAAGTTTACCCTTTGTTCAGCCTCACTTCCCTCGCCCTGCTTACCCTAATCTGCTCTCCTTACTCCCGTCACCAGTCGCAGCAATAGGTTCTACTAGGTTAGGCCAGCATGAGTGGGCGACGCAGTCGGTTGTTATCGTGCCTCGCTGTAATCGCATGGTGCGCGACGTTGCATCTCCGCGCGCTGCCAGCCTCGGCGGCGATCGTCGTCGTAACTCCCAAGAACGCCTCTTACGTCATCAATGACGTCGACGCCAACTTCGGTACGCCCCTCCGTTTCATCTCAGCCGTTGAGCTCGTCGCATTCACCATTCGCGCTCTTATCCGGAACGCACTCACCACTTGCGAGCACTCACCCGCCTCGCACTCACCGCATGAAACGCAGCACGTCTTGCACCTCACCGGGATTGCGCCTCACTATCCGCGAGCTTCTTCCGCCTCTCCCCGCTGCGTACGCTAACCTCAGCAAGCACTCGCAGCTCAGCGCTGTGCGCCAAGCCACCTTGCAGCGCATCTGCGCGCCGAGCCTTTTGGTAACACAGCTGGTAACGCAGCTGGGAACGCAGCTGGTAACGCAGCTGGTAATGCAGCTGGTAACACAGCTGGTAACACAGCTGCGCGCCGAGCCGTGGTACATATCTCCAATCTTCCCCCTACCGCCCCTTCCCCCTCATCCCCCGGTGCATCTCCCCCCTTCCCCGCTCTCTTCTCCCCCTTCGTCCCCAGGCGGTATCATCCCCTCGAGCGGCATTCGCGGCGTTCTGCGCCGAGCGGAGCCGCTCGACGCGTGTCAGCCGCTCGCGTCCCGCGCAAAGCGCGCAGAGCGGGCCTTCGTGCTGATCACACGTGGCAACTGCCTATTCGACACCAAGGTTCTCAACGCGCAAGTGGCGGGTTACGCGGCCGCGATAGTGTTCAATAACGAGGACAACGACGAGCTTATATCGAGTGAGTGCAGCACAATAACGACACATGTTCACCTGCCCTGTATTCCTCCATCGTCTTGCTGAGTACGTAGAAGCGCCATCCTACGTGGCATGTACCTGGCGGTGGATATGGAGGGAAATTCGCTGGCGGTGGGATGAGGGTGCGTGATCTACGCGTTTCGAAATGATTGGGAATTGCCCTTGAAATGATTCGCTCTCCCTTGGAATGGACTACACAGCGATACTGTTGAGAATTCTCAAAAGTGATTTCAACAATTGCTTGCTCTCCCATGGAATACACAGCGATCCCCTCTCTTCCCGCTTCCCCACGACCAGGCGCAAAACTAGAAACTCGACGCTATGGTCCCGCTCCCCCTTACATCTCTTCCCCCTTCAAATCGACGTTACGGTCCCGCTCTTTAAGCGTCCCAATCTAATCCCGTCCGCCTCATTGTTTCCACCTCCCCCGTCCCCCACCCCTCTCTCCCCTCCCCCTCCCCTCCTCCCCCGCGCGCGCTCCCCGCAGTGTCCGCGCGCAACGTGTGGGACGTTGCGATCCCCGCGCTCTACATCTCCCACGCGGATGGCCACTTGCTCCTCTCGCTCCTCTCGCTCCTCTTACTGCTCCTCCGTCCCCATCACCTCAGGATCTACTCCCCCCGATGTTTCGTCCCACCCTCCTCTCCCCCACATTCCCCGCCCCCCGTTGTCCCACCTCTCCCCGCGCAGTGTCCGCGCGCAACGTGTGGGACGTGGCGATCCCCGCGGTCTACATCTCCCACGCGGACGGCCACCTGCTCCTCTCGCTCCTCGCCGCGCAACCCGCGTCCCTCCTCATCCTCCTCCCCACCCTCTCCGGCTCGCTCCTCCCGCTGCTCGCCGCGGCGCTCCTCGCGCTGCTCACTCTCTCCGTCTTCCTCTCCGCGTTTCTGATTATCATGCGCCAGCAGCGGATACGGCGCGCGCTGGAGGAGGCGCGGAGGGGGGGCGCGTGGGGGGACGGGGTGGCGGAAGCGGAAGCCGCCGGGGGGATGGGGGAGGAGGGGCTGGTGGTCATGCGCGCGCTGCTGCTTCCGCCGCCGCCTAACAAGCGCATCGGTTTATCAGCTTCGGAGCTGAACGCGCTTCCAGAAATAACATACTCGCCTTCCATGGAGGATCTCGCTGAGGCTTGTAGAGGGGATAATGGAGCCCTCGGGAAGGCTTGTAACGGGGATGGAGGAGCAGAGAATGAAGCGGATGGGGGTGAGTGGGGCGGAGATGTCGAGGGCGGGAGGGAACAGGGGAGGAGTGAAGGGGGAGAGGAGGGAAAGGAGGAGGGGAGGAGAAGGAGGAGAGGGTGGAGCAGAGCGCTGGAGACGTGCGCCATCTGCCTGGACGACTATCAAACGGGCGACCGCCTCAGAGTGCTGCCCTGCGGTCATGGTAAGCTTGCCCTACCCTCTCCCAACCCAATGTTTTAGTCGACTCAAAAAGAGGGTGGAGCAGGGCGCTGGAGACGTGCGCCATCTGCCTGGACTGGACGATTGCCAGACGGGGTGACTTTTGAGTCGACTCAAAAGTCACCCCGCTGGAGACATGTGCGATCTGCCTGGCCCTGGACTGGACGATTACCAGACAGGCGACCGCCTGAGAGTGCTGCCCTGCGGTCATGGTGCGCTTGCCTTGCCCTATCCCCCAACCCCTCCCCACCCCCGCCTTCTCCACTCCCCCCTTCCCAAACCGCATATTCCCACCCCCTCCTCCTTATGCGTTAGGGTGCCTAAGCCTCACCATGCCTTTCGCCCCTCCCCTCCCCTCCCCTCCCCTCCCCTCTCTTCCCCACTCCTCCCCTCACTAAACCATCACTATTCTGCACTCTCACTCTCCCGTGTCATTGATATTCTGCCCATCCACCCCCGCACCCTCGCTCCCCAACCTCCTCCTCTCTCGCCCCTCTCAGAGTCCCACGTTGAGGGCACCAGCGAATGGCTCATCCCACAATGCTCTCCCTCCCCTCTCCCCTCTCCCCTCTCCCCTCTCCCCTCGACCCTCTCCCCTATCCGCTATCCCCTCTCCCCTCTCCTTTTTTCCCTCTCCCCTCTCCATATCCCATCTCCCCACTTCCCTCTCCCCTCTGTCCGCCATTCATCACCTGCAGAGTTCCCCGCCGACCGTTGATGAAATGCTTTGGACTCCACTCATTCCCCTCCTTCCCCTTTTCCTTACGACTCCCTTGCTCCCCCTTGTCCCCTAGAGTTCCATGCGGAGTGTGTGTATGGACGAGTGGCTTTTTAGTCAACGCACCCCCCTCCTTTTCATTCCTCCCCCCCCCTCCCCTCCCTGTCCATCAGAGTTCCATGCGGGATGTGTGTATGGACAAGTGGCTTTCGAGTAAACTCACCCCTTTCCAATCCATTCCTCCTTTCCCTCCCTCTGTCCATCAGAGTTCCATGCGGAGTGTGTGGACGAGTGGTTGACCACTAAGCAGCCCCTCTGCCCCATCTGCAAGGGTGACGCACACGCACCCTCCACCTCCCTTCCTCACACCTGCAGCAGCAGCAGCAACAGTAGCAGCAGCAGCAGCACTGCTGGCACCAACATTGCCGCGCATCCCTCTGTTCCCACACCTCCTTCGCCGAGCCAACTCCACTTCTTATCCTCCTCCCCCTCTTCCTCAAGATCAGCGACCTCCTCTCCCTCCTCTCGTTCCTCCCCTCACGCACAATCCCACCCATCCTCTTCGTCATTGCTTCTCACCTCTTTGCTTCCGAAACTACCCTGGCTAATGCACCCTGCCAGCTCCCGAGCCTCCTCGTCTGCTCTGGCCGTACCTAGCCCGTCTGCTGCCGAGCCTGGAGCAAGTGACATCCGGCGGCCGTTCCTCCTGCCTCCTGGCCCGGCTGCTTCTCCTACCTCTCCCTCCTCTTCAACTGCTGACTCAGCACCCATGCATGCTGAGCTGTCACACCAAACGGATTTGACGAGCATCGGATGATGTTGCATCTCACACCATCTAACACCAGGGTCATCCGTGTAACCACCATTGCATGCATGCAGTGATTTGCTGCTGACTACAACCAGCCAGAGAGTGACAAGCAAAAGCTTCTACTGGTATCTGCACTAACAAGGCACACGATATCTCTGAGTCTTGTCAGAAATACAGCCACAACCTGTTGGCTGCCTGTAGCTCTGGGATTATGAGACACATGTCTCATTGAAATTGCATGGATGTTCATGTACAGTAATTTACTCGTAAATGTGTATGCAAAATCGCAGTTGCAGCTGGCAGATAGGCACCGTGTGGGACTAAGACAAGGGTGTGATCGTGCGGTCCCGCGTGATGGACAACAATGAAGAAGTATTAAAAATGAAAATGACTTGAGATTGTCGTGACTCCAAACCTCGAAGTTCCGTGTGGCGCACAAGACACCTCAACCGAATCTCGACTTTCGCGAGCCGAATTGGTAACCCGCCACTAAAAATAATTGCGAGCAACTCACAGAAGGGCGTAGTTGATGTGACAATAATACGTGACATTTCCATTCACTTACGACCAGAAAATGTTTTTGTGACTTCGAAACACTAGCCAGCGAGAATGCTGCTGCTTACGATTTCCGCGACCCCGAAACACAAAAGTGATGGACGACATACCGAATGCGCCCTGTGACTGAAGAATTTATGGGTGCTACTCTCGACCTTCCCCTTCAATCGCGTCGCGAGCTTTCCTTCCTTCTTCACCATTCAGGTCCGCAATTTTTCCGACATCGTATGTGTCCACGTAGGTCCGATTAGGTCATGGCGAAGGTGTTATCCCACTAGAATCGCTACGTCCACGACTCGTAGTGTTGTATGTTGTAGTACAACATTTTTGCCACCTGTAATGTAGGCTTCATCACACCAGAAGTGATGTGGGCTCATCGCTACGTCTTTGCTGCCGTTTCGCCACAAGTCGATGGGATTCCCTTTTCAATCTGTAGTACGGTTGAGTGCATAGGTGTCGCAGGGCACGGCCCGTGTCAGTCGCAGGCCTGGTCAGTCGCAGGCCTGTAGCAGGGCATTGGGTCTGGCGTGCAACGAACCGTCGCCATCAGGTTCACATGGAGTCCTTTCTTCAACTCCGAGTTCAGGTCAGGTTCGGACGTCGTATCCTGCTACTGCATGTGCGGGGCCATCGTCGTGTGGGACACGCACCATTTATCGAGTCGGACTCGGACTTTCGCCGTCGACGTCGCAATACATGCAGGATGGCCGACGTCGCGTCGCGCCGAAGTTCCAAAGTCACCCCTTGCTCTCCCAAGCGGGTATATCTACCCACTCTCGGCTTTCAACAGCTTACTTCATTCCTGCAGTCTCAGACAGACCAGCAATTACTACCAGCCTGCGTTGCCATCGCTAGTAGTAGGTACCGAGTCTCGGGTAGTACCACCGGAAGCCCAACTCCAAGCCGCATCATCTGCCGCCGCAATGCAGCGCAACGCAATGGCCGGCGCCGCCGGGGGCCTTCTCCCCGTGCTCGTCGTCGCAGCATTGCTGCTTCAAGCGCCTTCCGCCGCGTCCGCCCGCCTCTGGATCTGGAACGGCGGCCTCGTCCCCTTCGTCCCGGAGCCCCGCGCAGCGGAGGCGGTGCTCACCGCCGCGGAGTCCGAGTCCGCCGGAGCGACGGGGCCCGCCGCCGGTACCGTCGCTGCTGGCGCGGAGACAGATCCGCCGCTCTCGCCCCCGCCGGTTTCAGCCGCAGCCACGACGCCAGCCCCGACGCCAGCCCCGGGGACGCCAGCCCCGACGCCAGCCCCGGCGGCGGCCCCGGCGGCGGCGCCCTCGCCCGCGCCAGCTCCCGCGGAGACGTGCGACGACGCGCCTGTGGACCCTTCGATCGTGTCGGGGTCTGCGCCCGATCCGTGCGCTGCTCTGGCGGCGGAGCTGACGCGGAGTGAGGAGAAACTGGGGAACAAGACTGGAGGGAAATGGTTCGCAGCCCCCTCTCTCTTCCAGGCTTGCTACTCATCATTTCTATTCAGGTACTACTACCAGTGGCAGTAGAGCTTTCGCTCGCAGTACCGCTGCGTTTTGAAGAGTTTTCTTCCATCCACGTTCAGAAGCATCATGCTCCGCTTTCATTCAAAGGTGCTTCTCAAACTCGAGCTTTTCCTGACCTGATTTTGAGAATTTACGATGGCATCGATTTTCCCTGTTTGTATCTGCCAGGCAGAAGTGCGACGTGGGCGACCTTCAGTCGATCGCGAACGCGTTTGACAATCACTACGTGTACAAGCACATCGCCGTGGACTCGCCGGACCAGACCAACCTGCCGAGCAGCATCGATATTGTCGCGGAGCTGAGAAAGATCGTCGCGAACGGGGAGAAGGGGAAGTACGCGCGGCTGGTGGACGCGCACATGGCGGCGTACACAGCGACCCTGGCGCTCAACGATGGCCACAGCATGTTCATTCCGAATTGTTTCCTTGGGAATTACGACTTGCCGTTGCCGCTCATGGCTGTCGGGGAAAACGGGCAGCAGGTCATTCGCGTTGCGCCACGCCGATGTGAGTGTTCGGCACTTCTCTGTTATGCGTTATGCAAGTGTTAGAAACTCTCTTCTCAAATGTTGCAGCTGTTTAATGATATTCCTCAATGCAGTAATACACCTGCTTCCAAAGCTTAGTAATTTCCCTCTGATGTATTCCCTCTGATATATCCCCTCTGATTTATCCCCTCTGATTTGTTCCCTCTGCCCATCAGATGTCACTCCCAAGGGTATGCGACATGTCGCGAAGGTTCTGCACAATTTTGACTTCGACCTTTACGAGGGCCGGCAGGTATGCTACGGATGGGGTAACTGAAGTCAATATCTATGCCATGGAAGCAGCTGATTCGTGTGAATGCATCCTTCTAGCGAGCTTTACACACCCATTCTACAAATTTGTTTTCAATGCTTCATGTGTCGTCCCAGGTGGTGGCTATTAACGGGGAGAAGGCGGAAGATTTCGTCCTGAATTGGGCAGACAAGGAATTGGGCATGTATCGCAATCACGCCGCGCGATTCACGAAATCCTTTGCGAGGAATGAAGCGGAAGCAACGCTGGACGGGACGAACATCGTCCAGGTGCCGGGCGAATTCGCGCGACGATCCATTGCTCCCGAAAACGACACCTTACTGGTGTCCTTCGCAACAACGTGAGCTACAGTACTTGATGCTCATTGGCTCTTCCTTTCGCAGTGTGTGTCTTTTAATCCCCCGTTTCTTCCCTGCAGTTCGCTTGCTGCGTTTAGCCCACTCGTCCCCTTTCACGCTTCATCCATCCACCCACCCTGCTTGTGCCACATCCGCTGCAATTCTCAGGGATGGAGGTTCAACGGAGGACGTACACGTGCCATGGATCGGGACAACTATGCATGCTGACTTCGTGAATGCCACGGGGTACTGGGCGAGTCGCTGTGCCGTACCCAACGCATCAGGCGCTGCCGCTGGCGACACCAGCAGCCCGCAGGCAACCACGCTCACTTCCATCGGCCATAATGCACATTCCGGTGATGGACAGGTTTCTCAAACGCCATCCCGATCCAGTCTACTACGGCGATACCAGCGATGACAGCGACGACCTGAATGTCGAGATTGCGTCGCTTTCTGCTGCGGCAGATGGCTCTTCTGGCGCAGTAGCGGGGCAGACTGTAACGAGGATCTCACCAAAGGGTGATAGTTTTCTGGTGAGCGGGATGGCTTCAGTTGTTGGGGTGAACGTTGGAGGCTGTGGGGTTTCTGTGTGATGGGTGCTGGGGTTCTTATCTAGTAGTTTATCTAAAGACGCCTGGGGCTTGCCGTTTGTGCTGGTTGGTGTGTGTCGTCTAGGGGCTAGGGGCTTGCGTGTAACAGCAACTGACTGCCATGTAACATGCTCTGATCTGATCTGATCTGATCTGATCTGATTTGATTCGAGGTGCTCTCTGCACTTCAGCAAACCTAACACGTGCGCCCAACTTGCTTGTGTGTCGGTGTGTGTGTGCGTGCACATGCGCACATGTGTGCATGGGTGCATGTGTGCATGTGTGCATGTGTGCATGCGCACATGTGTGCATGGGTGCATGTGTGCATGTGTGCATGTGTGCATGTGTGCATGTGTGCATGTGTGCATGTGAGCGAGCAGGTGTACCTGGTGGGCGGCAGCACGGCTGTGGTCTGGATTCACACATTCACTCCCACTGATGCAGTGTCAGAGGCGCTGGCGGAGGGAAATGGCAACGCGGAGAGCTACATGGTGAAGGAGGTCGCCAAAGCTCTTCTCACCGCTGCAGCGTTAGTACTCCTCTTGCACCCCTTCCTTGTACCCCTTCCAGCCCTCCTTCCTTCTACCCCTTCCAGCCCCCCTTCCTTCTACTTCCCCCACCAGCCCCACTTCCTTCCACCCCTTCCAGCCCCCCTTCCTTCTACTTCCCCCACCAGCCCCACTTCCATCTACCCCTTCCAGCCCCCCTTCCTTCTACCCCATCCAGCCCTCCTCCCTACCCTACCCTGCACCTTGTGTCATGCTAGTACCCTGCAATCTACTCATCATTCACCTCACATTCTCACCTCATCACTTCCTCACCCTCCTTTCCCTACTTGCCCATTCCCCCGTGCCTCTGTCCATGTGTTCCCCCATGCGTCCCTTCACAATCCCCCGACGCCTTCCCCCACGCTCCCCACCATGCCCCCCCCCTTCAGATCCAACGCCTCGCAGATCATAATAGACGTGCGGGGCAACGGTGGCGGCCACACCGCAGCAGCATACACAGCCATCCGTCTCCTCATGGGGGCAGCCAAGGTCCCCGACTCTGCCTTTTCCCTGCCTGTGGATTTCATCGTCGGCACGCAGTACACCGAGAATGCCATCAGCGCTCTCTCCCTCGATCCCAATACGCACTACTACTATAGAGGATACTCGGACCTCAACGGAACGACACTCACAAGCGCCTTTGACTACGCTCCGTTCCGCGAGCTCCGCTTCACAGAAGGCGGCCCTGCTGGGAACTACTCGGCGCCGTTCAAGGTAAATAGCAAGCCCGGTGTGAAGCTGGAGCAGCCGGTGTTTGGCGACCGCCCCTTCCTGGTCCTGTCGGACGGAAACTGCTTCTCCGCCTGCGGCATCCTCACACACGTGCTCGGGAAACGCCACAAAGTGCCCATAGTAACCGTGGGTGGTTTGCCCAACCAGCCCCCTGATGTGGGCTCCTCGTGCCTCGGGTTTACCCTACCTGACGTCTATTCAATGTCACCAGGCCTCAGCAAGCTAGCTGCCTTGATGCCGCAGAATGCGTCGCTGCCTCTCAAGGTGAAGGGGACGGTTTCCATGGCGTTTTCCAATGCCTACATGGATTCAGAGATTCCGTGCGAGTTTGAGTTTCTGCCCAGCCAGCATCACATCAACTACACCGTTGATCTCATTGACAAGCCCTGGGCCATGTGGAGCGAGGTGGCCAAGCTCTTTCCCTCCGCTGCCGTGTAGTTTATTATCGAGGCCCCAGCAACTGCCACCGCTGCAGCCTAGTTTTATTTATCTGGCGCCCCAACAACAGGCACCATACACTCACGTTTATGCTCTTTGATGTGTGGTGTTGGCTGAGAATGAGGCTCCCAAACTCTGAGCTGTATGCTGGTGGTGGAATCTGGTTATCGATTATGCTGATGGTTGTTATGCTGATGGTTGTTATGCTGATGGACGGTGGCTAGCTAGCTGTTTGGCTGACGGTGTTTATTTGCAAAATGTGTTAATGGGGGTGAGCTACATGCTGATAAGTTGTGTTTTTTGTATCCACCAGGTTTCACAGTTGGTAAGGTAACAGTTGCTAATACCTCGAATGATATTGATGCCGTTTCACCCTTAGAGGTGCACCTACCTGCGCCGTATTTGGCTGGATAGTGGATCCGGGCTGGCATCCCTCAAAAGTAGGAAGGCGCCTTGTGTCAAAACACATTGTTCTGTCCATTTCACTCTAGATTGTGTAGGGTTCTTTCCTTAGAGGGTACAACACTTCACTCTAGATAGTCTTGTATCCCTCCCCCTTACCTAATCGACATACTCACCTAGCTCCTAGATTCTAACATGGTATTAAGAGCAAAATGCTCCTTAGGACCGAAGTTTTAAAAGGGCCCACCACTACTATTTCGATATGCTGCCCGAGTCGCGCCCCTAGGAGAAATGCGAAATGCGAAAACGTGCCCTAGGCGAAACGGTTCCTTTTTCTGCCCTAGGCGCGATTTTCCTGCCTAGTCACGTGCGACCCCCCCTGACCGCGCCCTAGCTGCCCCGTGCGCCTCTCGCGCGGCCCGTCAGCCCCTACGCCCGGTCCCCCCTCGTTCCTGCTGCTGCGCGCGCCACTCACGCTGCCCGCCAGCCCCTAGCACGCACCTGCTGCGCGCTCCTTTTCAGCTGCTCCGCGCGCACCTGTTGCGCGCCCCTGGTTTGCACGCCCACAGCCCACGCGCGCCCACTGCTACTACGCGCCGCCCAGCCCGAGCTGTCACTGCTGCTCCTACTGACGCTACTGCTGCTACACCTAGTGCTACTCACTGCTACTGCTACTGAAACTAGTACTGCTACAGCTAGTGCTACTGCAGCTGCTGCTACTACGGCACTTGCTACAGCTGCTACTGACTGAAGCTACTGCTGGTACAGCTAGTGCTACTGCTGCTGCTACTGAAGCTCCTGCTGCTCCAAACCGTGATACTTGCTGCAGCTGCTCCTCCTTGCTGCTGCTGCTGCTACTTGCTGCAGCTGCTCCTCCTTGCTGCTGCTGCTGCTACTTGCTGCAGCTGCTCCTCCTTGCTGCTGCTGCTGCTGCTACTTGCTGCAGCTGCTCCTCCTTGCTGCTACTACTGCTACTTGCTGCAGCTGCTCCTCCTTGCTGCTGCTGCTGCTGCTACTGAGCGCCGGCTGCTGCTGCTGCTTGTCGCTGCTGCTCCGCCACTGAGCCCGAGCCGCGCCGCCCTGTCCGAGCCGCGCCGCCCAACCTGAGCTGTCACTGCTACTGCTGCTGCAACTACCGCTGCTACAGCTAGTGCTACTCGGTCTACTGCTGCTGCTGCTGCTGCTGCTCGGTCTGCTGCTGCTGCCCGAGCCGCCCTACTACTGCAGCTGCTGGGAGTGGAGGAGGTGCTGCTGGGAGTGCAGGAGGTGCTGCTGGCGCTGTAGGAGCTGGAGGTGCTGGACCTACTCCTGACAGTCACTGTCTGCCATGGCCACTTCCGCGGCAGTTGCTGCGGCCAGGGGTGGACAGCAGCGGGCACTGCTTCTCCCGGACGACCCCACCCCTCGGCAGCTTCGTGAGTGGGTTATTCAGCGAGGTCGTCCTGGTGGTGGAGGTTATCGTTCTGTTAGGACCGCTGCTCTTGGTGTTAGTGAGTCTGCTGCCACTCCAGGTGTTAGTGAGTCTGCTGCCACTCCAGGTGCTAGTGAGTCTGCTGCCGCTCCAGGTGCTAGTGAGTCTGCTGCAGCTCTAGGTGCCCGTGAGTCTACCGACGCTCTAGGTGCTAGTGCGTCTACTACCACATGTCCTGCCTCAGCTGAGGTCCTGCACACTTTCACGCTTGACTCAGGCGCGTCACGTTGCTTCTTCCGTGATTGCACCACAGTCACACCACTCACAGCACCTGTCCCAGCCTCACTGGCTGACCCCTCTGGGGGCCCAGTAGTTGCGAGAGCCTCCACGGTCCTCCCTTGTCCAGCAGTCCCCTCCGGCTCTTTGTCAGGTCTCCACCTCCCCACGTTCTCGACGAACTTGGTGAGCAACGCTGCCATTCAGGATGTCTGGGTTGATACCTTTATTCCTGGAGGGCAGCGAGTGGGGATCTGTACGTGCTCCCGGACTGGCCGTCACCTGGCTACGTTCACTCGACAGCCTGGGTCTAGTCTGTACACACTGACCACTGCGTCTGCACAGGTGGCTGAGTCAGGTCAGGTAGCTGCGTCGAGTCGAGCGTCTGCGTCAGGGCAGTTAGCTGCGTATTGCCCGTGCAGAGTACTCACGCACGAGACTCAGCGCTGGCACCACCGTCTTGGTCACCCCTCCCTGCGGCGTCTGCGCGGCATGCACTCCCGGCTCCTGGTCTCTGGCCTCCCTGAGACCCTGCCCCCCCTCCCGCACTCACTTGCGCCGCCGTGCCTTCCTTGCGTCGTGGGGCGGCAGCGCGCCGCTCCTCACTCCTCCGAGTTTCCTCCGACCACTGCTCCTCTGCAGACTCTCCACCTGGACATGTGGGGCCCGGCCCCCGTCGGTGGGACGGACCAGGAGCGCTACTTCCTGCTGGTTGTTGACGCCTACACACGCTACACCACAGTCTTCCCCTTGCGTCGCAAGGCGGACGTCAGCGGTGTTTTGATCCCCTGGATCCGTGCTACTCGTCTCCAGCTACACGAGCGCTTTCAGCAGGACTTCCCAATCCTGCGTCTGCACTCTGACAGGGGTGGTGAGTTCTCTTCTGGCGTCCTTGAGACGTTCTGCCAGGATGAGGGCATCGCCCAGTCGTTCACGCTTCCGGCCTCTCCGCAGCAAAATGGGATCGCGGAGCGTCGCATTGGCCTGATCATGGAGGTTGCTCGTACCTCCATGATCCATGCGGCTGCTCCCCATTTCCTGTGGCCGTTTGCGGTCCGATACGCCGCGCATCAGCTCAACCTCTGGCCCCGTGTCTCTGCTCCAGAGACCTCGCCCACACTTCGTTGGACGGGACAACCTGGTGATGTGTCGTCGTTTCGGGTCTGGGGCGCGCTCTCCCTTGTTCGCGATACCAAAGCGAGCAAGCTCTCTCCTCGCACTCTCCGCTGTTTCTTCCTGGGCTTCCCCACCGACGCTCCACCCAGGCAGTTCTACCACCCTGCCTCGCGTCGTGTTCTGTCCTCTCAGGACGTCACCTTTGACGAGTCGGTCTGTTACTACCGACTTCACCCGCACGCGTCCCACCCGGTCCCCCTCGCACCTCTCTTCCTGGTACCAGTTCCCCCCCCGGTAGACCCCCTTCCCCCACAGGGTCCTGCTCCCTCAGGTGTGTCCCAGGTAGACCCACCCCCCTTGGTTGAGCCAGTTGAGATCTCTTCTGACTCCTCTGACTCACCTGAGGGGGGTGACGCCGTCGCCGACGACACGGCGACCACTCGCCGCACTCCTCGCTTGGAGACCCCCCCGGGTTTCCCGCCACGGCCGTCTTCGCCGCCTCAGCAGCCTGCTGCTGTGGACTCTGGAGCTGAGACTACTGGAGCTGGGGCTGGGGGTGGTGAGTCTGGGGGTGCCCGCTCTCCTCGTCTGGCTACCCCCCCCCGGGTTCCCACCTCTGCCGTCTTCACCGCCTCTGCAGCCTGCTGCTGTGGACACTGGAGCAGAGACTGAGGGTACTGAGCTGGGGGTGCTGGGACTGAGGGTACTGAGCCTGGGGGTGCTGGGACTGAGGGTACTGGGCCTGAGGGTGCTGCGACTGAGGGTACTGAGCCTGCGAGTGCTGAGACCGAGAGTCCTGCCTCTGGGGGTGCTGCGAGTTCGGGTGCTGACTCTGGGGGTGCTGCGAGTCCTTCTGGTGTTGGTGTCGTCGGAGCTCCTACCGGAGGACCTGGAGCTACTGGTGCTGGAGGTACTGGAGGTGCTGCTGGTGCTGGAGGTCCTGGAGGTGCTGCTGGTGCTGGAGGTCCTGGAGGTGCTGCTGGTGCTGGAGGTCCTGGAGGTGCTGGAGGTACTGGAGGTGCTGCTAGTGCTGGAGGTCGGGGAGCTCCTGGTGCTGCTGGTCCTGGTGGAGCTACTGGTGCTGGAGGTACTGGAGGTGCTGCTGGTGCTGGAGGTCGTGGAGCTGCTGGTGCTGGAGGTACTGGAGGTACTGCTGGTACTGGAGGTCGTGGAGCTGCTGGAGCTGCTGGTGCTGGAGGCGCTGGAGCTCCTGGGGCTGGAGGTGCTGGAGGTGCTGGAGGTCCTGGTGGAGCTACTGGTGCTCTTCGCCACCTTCTCAGTCTTCAGCCAGGTGCTACTGGCTTCCCTGTGGCAGGTACTACTCCTCCGTTGCTGTGTCCACCGGCGGACCAGTCACAGCCGCCGCTGCTACCACACTCCCCACTGCCTGCTCCTGCTCCTTACACTGCGGTGTCAGAGTCCCTGACTGAGCGTCGAGAGCCTGAGACTCGTGCTTCCACCCCTGAGCGTCGAGAGCCTGAGTCTAGCTTTGACCTTGAGCCTGAGCCTAGAGCTGCTGTCCGTGCTCGTATTCCTCGTGTTCGTCGTCAGCGTGCTCCGGCTGTCCCCGGCACTCACGATATGACACTCCGTCCTTCCTCTGTTCCTCAGCGTGTTGTACTACCGTTACCTCCTGCGTCCTCTCTGCCTGACGCTGCTGACCCTCCGTCTGACCTTGCTCGTGCGTCCAGTCCGACTGTTACTCGCCTTCTTGCTACGGTTGTGACGGACCCTACGTTCTCGTCTCCTGCTGCGTCTGCCCTAGTAGCTGAGCTCGTTGACTTTGCTGCTGTGTACCGCCTAGACTACCTTGCGAGTCTTGTCTCTGACCCTGTCCCTGCCTGTCCTCCGTCCGTCGGGGGTGAGACTGCTCTTGGCTGTACTGCCCTTGGCTGTGACGTTCTTGAGGACAGACAGGAGGAGCTAGAGTGCCTTGCTGCCGCTTCACCCCATCACGCGACCATGCTGCTTGCCCCTGAGGGAGACCCGGATGCACTTGACATCCCCACCCCGCGCTCCTACAGGGAGGCGATTTCGGGTGAGTACTCCTCTCAGTGGCAGACAGCCATGGACGCAGAGATGGCTTCCTGGAAGTCCACAGGCACCTACGTCGACGAGGTTCCCCCACCTGGGGCGAACGTCGTCAGTGGCATGTGGATTTTCAGGGTGAAGCGGTCGCCGGGTTCTCCGCCTGCCTTCAAGGCACGTTACGTTGCTCGAGGCTTCAGTCAGCGTGAGGGGGTCGACTTCTTTCAGACCTTCTCCCCCACCCCGAAGATGACCACTCTTCGGGTGTTGCTACACGTTGCAGCTCAGCGTGACTACGAGCTGCACTCCCTTGACTTCTCGACAGCTTTCTTGCCTGGTAGCCTTCACGAGGCCATCTGGTTGCGCCGTCCACAGGGCTTCACAGGGTCGTTTCCTGAGGGTACCCAGTGGAGCCTACGGCGACCAGTGTACGGCCTGCGTCAGGCGCCCCGTGAGTGGCACGACACACTGAGGACGACACTTGCGGCTCTTGGGTTTGCTCCTTCGACTGCTGACCCGTCGCTGTTTCTACGCACCGACACTACTCTGCCGCCGTTCTACATCCTCGTGTACGTCGACGCCTTGGTTTTTGCTACTCCTGACACTGAGGCACTGGCCCTAGTGAAGGCGGAGCTGCAGGAGAGACACACCTGCACTGACCTGGGTGAGCTGCGGAGCTATCTTGGCTTGCAGATCACCCGGGACAGAGCACGGCGCACCATCACCCTGACTCAGTCACACATGGTGCACCAGGTCCTTCTGCGCTTCCGCTTCACGTACTCCTCGCCACAGCCCACTCCTCTGGCTACCGGCCACTCGCTCTCAGCTCCACCTTCGGACGAGTCCGTAGAGCCGAGTGGTTCGTACCCAGAGCTTGTGGGCTGCCTCATGTACCTGATGACGTGCACACGACCTGACCTCGCGTACCCTCTCAGCCTTCTGGCTCGCTACGTGGCACCCGGTAGACACCGAAAGGTGCACTTTGATGCTGCGAAGAGGGTACTGCGTTACTTGTGCAGCACATCGGGCATGGGGCTCGTGCTTGGAGGACGGGGTTCGGTGGTCCTCACAGGACACGCTGACGCTTCTTGGGCCGACGACCAGGCGACTCAGCGTTCGTCACAGGGTTACACCTTCAGTCTTGGCTCTGGTTGTGTCTCGTGGAGGTCCACTCGTTCTTCTTCTGTGCTTGATTCCAGTTGTGAGGCCGAGATCTACGCGGGGGCCATGGCTGCACAGGAGCTCCGCTGGTTGACCTACCTGCTGACCGACTTGGGGGAGCGGCCTCGTTCTCCTCCAGTTCTGTACGTCGACAACAAGGCAATGCTTGCCTTGTGTCGTGAGCAGAGACTGGAGCACAGAACGAAGCACATTGCTCTGCGCTACTTCCTTGCACGCGAGCTGCAGCAGCGTGGTCAGCTGCGCCTTGCTTTCGTGGCCTCTCGGGCCAACACTGCTGATGTCTTCACCAAGGCCCTTGGGGCTGGTGATCATCAGCGTTTCTGCACTGCTCTTGGGCTTGTGCCCACTCTGCCTCACCTGCTGGTTGCTTGACTTGCTCTTGTTGTACACTGCTATATATCTTTAAATCTGCATGTGAACTGGCCTTGTGGCCGCCTGCTTGTGCTCAGATTGTGTGGTGTCCTTGAGATCCACCCTGGGCTTTGCCTTGCTTGTTCTCTTGCTTGACTGGTCTTGTGACCACTGTTAGGTTTGGCTATCCCCTACTTCACCTATGGGGGTGTGTCAAAACACATTGTTCTGTCCATTTCACTCTAGGTTGTGTAGGGTTCTTTCCTTAGAGGGTACAACACTTCACTCTCGATAGTCTTGTATCCCTCCCCCTTACCTAATCGACATACTCACCTAGCTCCTAGATTCTAACACCTTGCGCCCTACCAAGTTACGGTAAAGTGTTGTTTGTAACACACCCTGTCGTTCCCACAATCCACTTCTAAGTGATGCAGGGAACTCTGAACGCGTGATGCCAGTTCAGCGCGTGCGGTTTGGTTGAGTGCGGCTGTCAACGTGTCAGCAAAACATTGAAGAATATTTGACCCAAAAAAGGCATTTCAGGAGGGGGAGGGAGGGAGAGGAGGGGGTGGGGGAGGTAGTCCGCTCAGTTGCTCGTTTTACAACCATGTCAAGGCCGCTACGAATTCTGTTCGCGCAGTTGGATACGAACAAAGAACACTAGATTGATTCTGCAAATTAGATATGAAGCTATAGATACACTTCTTGTGTCCATTTCACGGACATACCGTAAAGTGCCACCTATAGGACCCGGGGGACTCTCTACAAATGCTGGAAAAAATGCTAGGGTGGACATTATGGCGGTTGCCAATTTTTAAGACCCGGGGTACACTTATTTGTCTATTAACATTAATGGATTTACCAAGTACAAGCTCGGTAGGGGGGGGGGGGGGGGGGGGGGGGGGGGGGGGTCTTCTATTTTTCGCGCGAGAATCTTTAGCTTGGTGCCCCACGTGCGCGTCATCGGGAATGACACGCGGCGAAAATCAGAGCACGGGGGCGGACTGAACGGCGTTTGCCCCGCACCGCACATCTTCTTGACGGTGTTTCCGTTAAGATGGGCACGTCAGGTGGCCCCTGACCACCCCATCATGTCTCTGTGGCAGAATGGGTACTGGACGTGAAGCACTAGGGTTTCACGTCCCTCACTCTACCGTGCACGCAAGCTTTCATCCCCTCCCTTCCTCTGTTTCAGATCTTGTCCGCCCGGCTAGCTTCCTACCCGTCTAAATAGCCCGCCATGGCGCCTACCAGTTAGTGAACCATAGGTCCTTAGAACTGTATCAGCTCTTCGCCATGTCGGCTTTCGAAAGCCCATGGCGTTCTCGCAGTATGGCGGTAGGAAGTGGGTCTGGCCAGCCCGCAATCATACTGATTACAAGCCCGGCCCCGCCAGCTCCTCCAGCTCCTCCCGCACCTCCGGCACCCCCTGCGCCTCTGGCGCCACCTGCGCCCCCTGTGCTTCCCCCGGGCTTCGTTGACTGGCGCACCACTCCTCCTTTGGACCCGCTCGAGGAGGAGGGGTTTCCTGAACCCGTCGCCGAGGACGGTGAGAACGAGACGAATGCCGAGAACGAGAACATGGAAGACGACGTCGGGGATTTCCCGATCCCTACGTTTCCGGATGACTTGATCCACAACGAAAACGGGCCTCGCTCCAACGTTGACGGTGCTCCAGCAGTTCGCAGCGCCCGCAAGACTAACCACCGTCGCACTACGCGAACCATGGGTGAGAAGCAGGAATGGCTCGCGCGGATGGACGATGAGAAGCTCTCCGTCCGCGCCACTGCACGTCTCGCCGGGGTGCAGCCTGTCAGCGTCCGCCGGTGGATAAGGGCGGCGGATCGGATTAAGAAGGCGGCACCGTCCAGGCACCGACTCATTGGTGGAGGGAGAAAGGCGAAATATCCCGACATGGAGGCGCATACCTACAAGCGGCTCCTGAACTTCCGCGGACGTGCCTTGGCCGTGCCTATTCGTCTCATCAAGCACTGGAGCCGGTGTTACATGAAGGCGCATTACCCTGATGTGAGGTGGATGGCGTCCAACAGGTGGACCTTCCGCTTCCGCCAGCGTTTGGGCCTCTCCATCCGCGTGAAGACGAAGATGGGTCAGCGTATGGCATCGGGTGAGTTAATCTTGTGCTTCCCTCCGTGTGTGTGCTTGTATAGTTTGCTTGGCGACATGTAATACTAATGCTTAACCCACCGCCGTCACTAATGTCCTTCTCCGGCCTTGTCCGCGTCCGTGGCAGAGTGCAAGCAGAAGTGTGAGAAGTTCTAGGCGTTCACAAGGAGGAACATCATCAAGCATGGCATAGACGCATGGAACATTATAAACGCCGACCAGACGCCCGTTTTCCTGGAGATGCCGCACGAGCGCACCCTGCATCACCGCGGAGAGAAGACGGTGCACGTCAGGAGCGCAGGCTACGAGAAGGACAGGGTGACTGTCATGCTCGGGATCACCGCGGACGGGTGCAAGCTCCCCGCCATGGTTATCTTCAAGCGCAAAACGATCCCGAAAATTCGGGTCCCTGCAGGTGAGTTGCTAGAGTTGTAACCATCACGGTTGTCTCTCTGCGTGGCGGATTTCTAACCACGTGCGTTGTTTTCTTTGCAGGAGTCGTTGTTCGTGCGCAGGCGAAAGGCTGGATGGATGCAAAGCTAGTGGATGATTGGGTGAATAACGTTCTGTTGCCGTTCATCAAGCCTCCGCGTGGCATCCGGCGTTCCAAGACGCTTCTCGTCGTGGACTCGTACCGGGGCCACCTCACCGACGGCGTTCTCACCAACATGAAGTGGAACCGGGTAATTCCGGCCATAATCCCCGGGGGCTGCACCCCACTGCTGCAGCCCCTTGATGTGAGCGTTAATCGCTCATTCAAGGCACTGCTCCGTCAGCTCTACAACGACTGGTTTGCCGAGTTTGGCGTCAACACATTCACGAAAGCCGGTGAGTTTCGGTGCCGTTCTTAGTACCTCGCCTTGTGGCGTGTTTGTAGCTGGTTGTTGGCTTTATGATAACTCCCCGTGTGCGCCCCGTGCCTGTTCTTTCCCGTTTACATGGCAGGCAACCTGAAGAAGCCGCCAGCGAAGACGGTCCTCAAGTGGATTGCGAGTGCTTGGGCGGCCGTCCCCGAGCACATTATTGAGAAGGCGTTTCTCACGACAGGCATCAGCAACTCGGTCGATGGGAAGCAAGATCACCTCGTCCTGGCCCACATGCGTGATGCGGGCGAGGTCGAGGTGGCACAAGACGTGCACGTCGCCCCTGAGGTGGAGGAGTGGGTGAACCCGCTGTTCGCCACAGCCGCGGAGGATGAGGAGGCGGCAAAGGCTGCGGATGCTGAGGATGCCGGGGACCTGCAGGAGGAGGAGGAGGAGGAGGAGGAGGAGGAGGAGGAGGAGGAGGAGGAGGAGGAGGAAGAAGAGGAAGAAGAGGAGGAGGAGGAGGAGGACGACGATGTGGATGACGAGGAAGAGGAGGCGGAGGGTGGGCTGGAGGAGGACGCGAACGCTAAGTGAGGAGTAGGGGGGGGGGGGGGGGTACTGGTTCCCTGAACTAGAGTGCTTGATGGAATCCAACATGACCATGCCGTAGTTGTAGTGACCACTAGGTGTTGAGATGTGTACCATGTAGTACGGTAGGTAACAACAATAACAATGTTAACTGCACCAAACTCAATAGGGCCTTATATGGAAAGGGGGGGGTCTTATAATGATTAGCTACAAAGGGGGGGTCCTCACAAAACCTGCCACAATAAGAGTCCCCCTACCCATTCAAGAGTCCCGGGGGACCCTCTTACCGGCGGGTCCTATAGGCGGCACTTTACGGTAGCGTCTATTCCTCCGTAGGATCTGTTCATGGGTTTAGGCCATAAGTCCTTCACACTAAGACCGTGACTACACAGGAGCACCATTAACACTATTCATCAGCCGGGTTACAAAACGCTCACATCGGGAATAGATCACAAACTCTGTGAACAATACCATCAACAGCAACAGTGTTCGTAGAGATAATGTGCTCAAACCACAAGTAGTTCATGATTTCATCACTTTCTCTCTCAGAGTGCTGCTTTTATCAAGCATCATTTCACGATGCCTCCAAGAGGAAGAAGCGCGTCGGTCGAAGTTGTCACCCCTGAATGGCTCTTCTCCTGCGTGGTATGTGGACACAGTCAAGAAGCAAGAGGAAGGGAAACAGTCAGCGGATTCAACACCTGTGAATGAAGTGTCAGAATTACTGTGCAGGAATGATTGCATTGAGCAGCATGATGAGTACAAGTATGAAACCCTAAAGGATTGTACTCACTAGAGTATGGCCCACTACAGCCTAGAAGCATACAAATGTAATTTGACACACCCCCATAGGCAAAGTGGGGGATAGCAAACACAACGAACGATCACAAGACCAGTCAAGCAAGAGAACAAAGCAAAGCAAAGCTCAGGGTGGATCTCAAGGACACCACACAATCTGAGCACAAGCAAGCGGCCACAAGGCCAGTTCACATGCAGAGTTATAATAGCAAGGCAGTACACTGATCACAACCTAGCAAGAGTATACAAGCAGGTATAAAGATATATATCAGTGTACAACAAGAGCAAGTCAAGCAACCAGCAGGTGAGGCAGAGTGGGCACAAGCCCAAGAGCCGTGCAGAAACGCTGATGATCACCAGACCCAAGGGCCTTGGTGAAGACATCAGCAGTGTTGGCCCGAGAGGCCACGTAAGCAAGGCGCAGCTGACCACGCTGCTGCAGCTCACGCGCAAGGAAGTAGCGAAGAGCAATGTGCTTCGTTCTGTGCTCCAGTCTCTGCTCGCGACACAAGGCAAGCATTGCCTTGTTGTCGACGTACAGAACGGGAGGAGAACGAGGCCGCTCCCCCAAGTCGGTCAGCACGTAGGTCAGCCAGCGAAGCTCCTGTGCAGCCATGTCCCCAGCGTAGATCTCGGCCTCACAGCTGGAACCAAGCATAGAAGAAGAACGAGTGGACCTCCACGAGACAGAACCAGAGCCAAGACTGAAGGTGTAACCCTGTGACGAACGCTGAGTCGCCTGGTCGTCGGCCCAAGAAGCGTCAGAGTCTCCTGTGAGTACCACTGAACCCCGTCCTCCAAGCACGAGCCCCATGCCCGATGTACTGCACAAGTAACGCAGTACCCTCTTCGCAGCATCAAAGTGCACCTTTCGGTGTCTACCGGGTGCCACGTAGCGAGCCAGGAGGCTGAGAGGGTACGCGAGGTCAGGTCGTGTGCACGTCATCAGGTACATGAGGCAGCCCACAAGCTCTGGGTACGGACCACTCGGCTCTAGGGACTCGTCCGAAGGTGGAGCTGAGAGCGAGTGGCCGGTAGACAGAGGAGTGGGCTGTGGCGAGGACCACGTGAAGCCGAAGCGCTGAAGGACCTGGTGCACCATGTGTGACTGAGTGAGGGTGATGGTGCGCCGTGCTCTGTCCCGGGTGATCTGCAAGCCAAGATAGCTCCGCAGCTCACCCAGGTCAGTGCAGGTGTGTCTCTCCTGCAGCTCCACCTTCACTAGAGCCAGTGCCTCAGTGTCAGCAGTAGCAAAAACCAAGTCGTCGACGTACACGAGGATGTAGAACGCCGGCAGAGTAGTGTCGGTGCGTAGAAACAGCGACGGGTCAGCAGTCGAAGGAGCAAACCCAAGAGCCGCAAGTGTCGTCCTCAGTGTGTCGTGCCACTCGCGGGGCGCCTGACGCAGGCCGTACACTGGTCGCCGTAGGCTCCACAAGGTACCCTCAGGAAACGACCCAGTGAAGCCCTGTGGACGGCGCAACCAGATGGCCTCGTGAAGGCTACCCTGCAAGAAAGCTGTTGAGAATTCGAGGGAGTGCAGCTCGTAGTCACGCTGAGCTGCAACGTGTAGCAACACCCGAAGAGTGGTCATCTTAGGGGTGGGGGAGAAGGTCTGAAAGAAGTCGACCCCCTCACGCTGACTGAAGCCTCAAGCAACGTAACGTGCCTTGAAGGCAGGCGGAGAACCCGGCGGCCGCTTCACCCTGAAAATCCACATGACACTGACGATGTTCGCCCCAGGTGGGGGAACCTCGTCGACGTAGGTGCCTGTGGACTTCCAGGAAGCCATCTCTGCGTCCATGGCTGTCTGCCACTGAGAGGAGTACTCACCCGAAATCGCCTCCCTGTAGGAGCGCGGGGTGGGGATGTCAAGTGCATCCGGGTCTCCCTCAGGGGCAAGCAGCATGGTCGCGTGATGGGGTGAAGCGGCCGCAAGGCACTCCAGCTCCTCCTGTCTGTCCTCAAGAATGTCACAGCCAAGGGCAGTACAGCCAAGGGCAGTCTCACCCCCGACGGACGGAGGACAGGCAGGGACAGGGTCAGAGACAAGACTCGCAAGGTAGTCTAGGCGGTACACAGCAGCAAAGTCAACGAGCTCAGCGACTAAGGCAGACGCAGCAGGAGACGAGAACGAAGGGTCAGTCACCACCGTAGCAAGAAAGCGAGTAACAGTCGGACTGGACGCACGAGCAAGGTCAGACGGAGGGTCAGCAACGTCCGGAAGAGAGGACGCAGGAGGTAACGGCAGAACAACACACTGTGGAACAGAGGAAGGACGTTGTGTCATATCGTGAGTGCCTGGGACAGCCGGAGTACGCTGACGACGAACACGAGGAACACGAGCACGGACAGCAGCTCTAGGCTCGGGCTCAAGGTCAAAGCTGGACTCAGGCTCTCGACGCTCAGGGGTGGAAGCACGAGTCTCAGGCTCTCGACGCTCAGTCAGGAGCAGGAGCAGGCAGTGGGGAGTGCGGGAGCAGCTGCGGCTGTGACTGGTCTGCCGTTGGAAACAGTAACGGAGGAGTAGTACCTGCCACAGGGAAGTCAGTAGCACCTGGCGGAAGACTGAGAAGGTGGCGAAGAGCACCAGCAGCTCCCGTACCTCCAGCACGAGCAGCTCCTCCAGTACTCCCAGCAGCACCTCCAGCACCAGTAGCAGCAACACCTCTATTACCTCCAGCACCAGCAGCACCAGTAGCGCTACGTCCTCCAGCACCAGCAGCACCTCCAGTACCTCCAGCACCAGCAGCACCAGTAGCTCCAGGTCCTCCTGCACCAGCAGCACCTCCAGTACCTCCAGCACCAGCAGCAGGACCAGCACCTCCAGCACCAGCAGCTCCAGTAGCTCCACGTCCTCCAGCACCAGCAGCAGGACCAGCAGCTCCAGCACCTCCAGCACCAGTAGCTCCACGTCCTCCAGCACCAGCAGCACCTGTAGCTCCAGGTCCTCCTGCACCAGCAGCACCTCCAGTACCAGCAGCACCACCAGCTCCGGCAGCTCCAGTACCTCTAGTACGAGCACCTCCAGAACCAGCAGCTCCCGCAGCTCCAGCACCAGTAGCACCAGCACCTCCAGTGCCAGCAGCTCCAGTACCCCCAGCACCTCCAGTACCAGCAGTACCTCCAGCACTAGCAGCTCCAGCACCTCCAGCACCAGCAGCAGCTCCAGTAACTCCAGCACCAGCAGCACCTCCAGTACCTCCAGGCCTAGCAGCTCCAGTACCTCCAGCACCAGCAGCACCTCTAGTACCTCCAGCAGTACCTCCAGTACCTCCAGCACCAGCAGCACTGCCAGCACCCCCAGCACCAGTAGCACCTCCAGTACCTCCAGGCCTAGTAGCTCCAGTGCCTCCAGCAGTACCTCCAGCACCTCCAGCACCAGCAGTACCTCCAGGACTAGTAGCTCCAGCACCAGCAGGACCGTACCCTCCACCACCAGGACTGCCTCGCCGAACGATCCACGCACGAATCGCCTGCGGCGAGAGCATCTCAAGTAGATCAGGCTGCGGTGGCTGTCCAGCACCAGTAGCACCTCCAGTAGTGGTAGCTCTAGCACCTCCAGCACCAGCAGCACCCCCAGAGTCAGCACCCCCAGTCGCAGCACCCCCAGAACCAGCCCCCCCAGGCACAGCACCCCCAGAACCCTCACCCTCTGTCTCAGCACCCCCAGTCTTAGCACCTGTAGTCTCAGATCCAGAGTCCACAGCAGCAGGCCGCGGAGGCGGCGAAGACGGTTGAGGCGGAAAACCCGGGGGGGTCTTCAAGCGTGGAGAGCGGCGAGTGGCCGCCGTGTCGTCCGCAACTGGGTCACCCCCCTCGGCTGGGCCAGAGGAGTCAGAAGAGATCTCCACTGGCTCATCCAAGGGGGGTGGGTCAACCTGAGACACACCTGAGGGAGCAGGACCCTGTGGGGGGAGGGGGTCTACCGGGGGGGGGACTGGTACCAGGAAGAGGGGTGCTAGGGGAACCGGGTGGGACGCGTGCGGGTGTAACTGGTAGAAACAGACAGACTCGTCAAAGGTGACGTCCTGGGAGGAGAAGACTCGACGCGAGGGCGGGTGGTAGAACTGCCACGGCGGGGCGTCAGTGGGGAAGCCAAGGAAGACGCAGCGGAGAGTGCGAGAGGAGAGCTTGCTCGCTTTGGCATCGCGAACAAGGGAGAGCGCGCCCCAGACCCGAAACACTGACGCATCACCAGGCTTCCCCGTCCACCGGAGTGTGGGCGAGGTCTCTGGCGCAGAGACACGAGGCCAGAGGTTGAGCTGATGCGCAGCGTATCGGACCGCAAACGGCCACAGAAAATGGGGAGCAGCCGCATGGATCATGGAGGTGCGAGCAACCTCCATGATCAAGCCAATGCGACGCTCAGCAATCCCATTATGCTGAGGAGAGGCCGGAAGCGTGAACGTCTGGCGGATGCCCTCGTCTCGACAGAACCCCGCAAGGAGGTCAGAAGAGAACTCACCGCCCCTGTCAGAGTGCAGACGCAGGACTGGGAAGTCCTGCTGAAACCGCTCGTGCAGCTGGAGACGAGT